TAAGGACAGTTGCTGCTTTTAATTCAGAAAGGAAAATTGTTGGCCTTTTCACATCAAACCTTGAAACTCCACTGCGGCGCTGCTTTTGGAAGGGACAGATTTCTGGAAGTGGATATGGAATAGCTCAGTTTGCACTCTATGCTTCCTATGCACTTGGTCTTTGGTATGCTTCTTGGCTTGTGAAGCACGGTATATCTGATTTTTCTAAAACAATCCGAGTTTTTATGGTTCTCATGGTCTCTGCTAATGGTGCTGCTGAAACCTTAACCCTGGCCCCTGACTTCATAAAGGGTGGTCGTGCCATGAGATCGGTCTTTGAACTTCTTGACCGAAGAACTGAGATTGAGCCTGATGACCCAGATGCTACCCCTGTTCCTGATCACCTTCGTGGTGAAGTAGAACTCAAGCATGTTGACTTTTCTTATCCAACTAGACCAGATATGTCAGTTTTTCGTGACCTCAGCCTTCGTGCCAGGGCAGGTAAAACTCTTGCCCTTGTAGGGCCTAGTGGCTGTGGCAAGAGTTCAGTCATTGCACTTATACAAAGGTTTTATGATCCAACATCCGGGAGGGTCATGATTGATGGAAAGGACATAAGGAAATACAATCTCAAGTCTCTTAGAAGGCACATTGCTGTGGTGCCTCAGGAGCCATGCCTATTTGCTACTACTATTTATGAGAACATTGCTTATGGACATGACTCAGCCACTGAAGCTGAGATCATAGAGGCTGCAACTCTTGCCAATGCTCACAAGTTCATATCTTCTCTGCCTGATGGATTCAAGACATTTGTTGGTGAGAGGGGAGTTCAACTATCAGGGGGACAAAAGCAAAGAATAGCAATTGCTAGAGCTTTTATGAGGAAGGCAGAACTTATGCTTCTTGATGAGGCAACAAGTGCACTTGATGCTGAATCTGAGAGATCTGTTCAGGAGGCCTTGGACCGTGCCTGTGCTGGAAAAACTACCATCATTGTTGCACACAGGTTATCAACTATTAGGAATGCCAATCTGATTGCAGTGATGGATGATGGGAAGGTAGCAGAGCAAGGCTCCCATTCGCAGTTACTAAAGAATTACCCTGATGGGATCTATGCACGCATGATTCAGTTACAAAGGTTAACAAATAACCAAGTTATTGGAGTGGCCGCAGGATCAAGTTCTTCAGCAAGAACAAAAGATGATGAAAGAGAAGGCTAAGGGATAAAGGAGTATATGCCACACACCTATTGTAATTGTTAGGCATTTTTGTTTTGACATAGTATAGTTTGTGTATCTTCCCTCACCTCCTCCCATTTAAGAATGTATCTTGTCTTTATGAATCTTATCTTACTAAGGAAGAATCACATGATCAGATTGAAACAGATAGATAGAAGCAAAAGTCTTTTAAGAATATAAGGTTTTAATATATCTTTACAAAAATACATACCAAAAAAAAATATATACAAAACATTTATTTTCATGCTAACCCTTGTATATAATGTTTATGTCATATGAAGTATGTGACTAGGCTAGTAATGTGGGTACCAGTGGTATAAAAAAAGGAGATACTAATGCATCTATTATGCTTCGGTTACTGAGAAATCGCAACATAATATGGCGTGGTGGCATTTTTGAAATTTTTACAAAAGTATGTGTCTTGGTTCATTATTAACTGAAGCAATATGGTGTATATGGTTTAGATTGTCCAAAGAACTGTTGTCATAGAGTTTGCGAAACTGACAACCAAAGATTTTTCAAGTGACATAAATCTTTCTACAAGACATATGGCCTCAGTTGTCACAAAGAATCGTTGTCATAGGGTTTGCTAAACTGTCAAGCAAAGACTTTTCAATTGACACAAATCTTTGTGTAACATCAGTTATCTATAGAATCGAGGCTATAAATCTTGACATTCCCTTTATTCAGACTGACTTTTTAGCTATCCAAATATCTATGCAGGACTTTTGGTCTCGGTTATCTACAAAATTGAAGTCTTAGTTACCCAAATATCATTAATGTCAAATTGTGTGATTTTAGAATTTATCACGTTAAAATAAACCAGGAAAAGATTATTTGAATTAGATGTTTGATATGGATGATAACACCTGTTAATTTTCTATCATGAGATGACATTTTTTATATTAAATTATTTCACACAAGTTGCCATAGTTAATTATCTTATCATGGAAATTGTAAATCTTCTGATCTCGAGGTCTGAATTGGATGCATGCGAAGATGCAACTTGTTGCTTAGAGAATAACATTGTTGATTTTAGATCATATGATTGTGTGCATGACATGGTAACTGAAAAGGATCTTGATGGAATTGACCACGTAAAAATATTGAGTAAAAAATAATTTTCTAAGTATTTTTAATGAATTTTACAAAATCAGGATAATATAGGTTAAACTAAAAATGTAACATTTATACACAGAACAATGACTAGTGAATGAAAACACCAACTTTAATGTGAAATACAATTAGAGAGAATGAAAGCTTAAGCCTAAATAAGTAAGATGAAACGAACTCATTTGAAGAACTTGAGTTTAACGTCATCACTACACTTTGGTAGGAGATTTCATCCAAATGAAAAAGAGAAAGGTGAGAGGTGTCGTTGTTTTCTGAAATGCTAAAAGATTATTTGACTTTGATCCACCTCCCATTAGATATTAATTTTCAATTTAATACTAGTCCTAGGGTAGGACGTTATTTAACATATGTTGGATCTATAACTAACATTAAACGAGGAATTAACGTCCGTAGGAAGTTGGTCCATCATCAATTTGAACAAAATATTCAAAAAAATACAACTATACATTTTTAACTTGTGATTTTGTTACACTTAGCATGAAATTGACGATGTTGAAAACCCATTTATGTTAGTAGTAAAACAAATAAAACAACTTAACGTTGTGATTGATATTGTTCATAGATAAACCATAGAGTTTTTCACTTGTCAAATTGACTCCACTTTCTTTCTCGTTTTCGTCTTTCTAACTGTGAAGATTTGAGGAGCAAGAAAACTTCACCGAGTAACAAACAAAAGTGGAAATAAAATGAAAGATCAAATGATTAATTTTGTTTGGTTCTCAACCTAATATACATAGATAATATGGTAAGTTTTCAGTGCCAATGACAAACAACCCAAACTTTTGGACAATTTTCAGTATAATAGATATGGATAAAAAGGTAAATTTTCTAGCATATTGTTTTTTTTATAGATATAGTTGGTGTTTGACATCATATATTTTGACATCATATAATTAATTGTGGTTAATTATATCACACTGATAATATTGTGCTTTTATGTTATATCTTAAAATATTTAATTTTTATAATTAAAAGATTTTATTGAAGTAATTAGTAAATGATGTTGTATTTCTTTTATAAAATCAATCAATATTAATATAAAAGTGTATTACTACTTATATTTTTTTTAAATTATTAAATATTAAAAATTGAATTACTTAATATTTAAAATTAACTAATATTTTTCTTAAATTCTATATATTAAAATAAAATTTCATCCAAAAAGAATAAAATATAATATATTTTAATTATTTCATTCAAACAAATGTTTAAAAAATGAAAAAGAAAATATAAGTAATTTAAGTATAATTTATTTCTATTTTATTTTTATTCGAACACAAGCTATTTTTTTAGGTATAATACTTATTTAGGTTCCAATTTTGGTTGGAAATATTCGAAATGGTCCTAATTATTTTTTGCTGTTTAATGTTGTCCTAAAAAATGTAATTTGTGTTCAATTCGGTCCTTTTTGCAAACTCCATTTAAATCGTTAATGTCCATATGTGCAATTAGAGAGTGAAATGTCATGTAGGTGGAGTCCTATGTGGCGTTGTGAGTTGAATTTATTATTTTTTAAAATCATTTTGTGGCATTGTGAGTAGGATTAACCAATCAGTTGTTGTCACACATCACTACCCTTGATACATCATCATCATCTCCACAGAAACCCTAGTTCCCTAACCTAGCCAATGTCGCCGTCAGCGAAGTTATGCTGCCACCATGAAGCTGTGCCGTCACTAGACGACCACCAAACCCTAGCATCGGACCACTACCCATCATCTTCACCAGCATCGCCGCCGATAGCCACCACCGTCACCAATAGAGAACGTGAACGCCAAACTCGCGAGTCCTCCATCATCATCTTCAGTGTCTTCCTCGACTTCTATCTCCACCACGAAACCCTTATCAGACTGCCATTCTCCATCACCATCAAACTCACCGTCAGTTGCGAGATCCTCCACCAGATAGCGATTTCATCTTCTCCATCCATAATCACCGAACTTGCAATCAGAAAAACAACAAACCCAACAACCACTGCGAATCCTCCATTGACGCACAAACCCAGAATGCAAAAACGTGAAACAAAATTGCGTGTTCTCCATTTGTCTCCTCCACTCGCGCGCACTATCTCCATTCACCCCCTGCAAATCATTCCCATAAATCAGATTGAAGCAGCCATTCTTGCAAGCACCATCGCGCCGCCATGAGCCGCCGCGAATAAAAGGGACAAGATCCTATCTTCGTTTATTCTCGCTGCGCATAAGCAAGCTTTCCCTTACACCTCCTTTGCATCAGAAACCCTGCAATCACAAGCACAAATCTGCAATAGAAAAATTCTTTCTTCGTCTCTGATCGTGCAACACCAAGGAAGAAGAGCAGCAAAGGACTCCACGTAAAAAAAATAGAATTTCAAAAATAATAAATCCAACTCACAACGCCACAAAGGACTCCACGTAAGCCAATATATGACATTTCACTCTCTAATTGCACATATAAACATATGCCCGTTAACGATTTAAACGACTTTTACAAAAAGAACCAAATTGAATAGGAATTATATTCTTTAAAACTACATTAAACCGACCATTTCTAACATTCCCAATCAAATTTGGGACAAAAATAGGTATTATACCTTTTTTTTATTACGTAAAACCCATTAAAATTGAGTCGAATTAAACTATTAAGAGGGGGGAGTCAAATCCTAAATTTGCTTCAACGTTTCTTTCCTTATTTTCACCTTTTAGCGCCAAGCTCCAAGTCTCAAAACCCCGAGCCTTCTACATGCACTAGGGTTTTGCTTAGCTACTGCGATTCCACTAGTAGAAAATGGGAACGGGTTCAGCATTGGCTGGGAAAGAAGTTCCCGTTGTCGGAAGCGACGCCGTTCGCTGGATCGATCTCCACGTTCCTTCTTCCTCCAACAATGTCGCCGTCAATGGCGACGCCGCTCCTACCACCACCTACGACCGCGCCTCCTGCTTCGTCGTTGGAGATCCTCCTACTTATCTCATCTGGTTTTCTTCTTCTTCTTCTCCCCTCTCTCTCTCTCCTCTCTTAATTTCATTTTGCGCGTTCCGAAAACTTACCGTTTTGCTAACCGCAGGAGAATTCACAAGGCTCTACCTCACTCTCTCGAGTTGCTTGAACTCGCCGCTTCAAAGGAATTCCCTCGCGTGGGACTCAGATTCACTTTCCCCGACGTTCTGTGCCCCTTCGCGTTCATATGCAAAAACGAGGTTACTTACTTCTTCACCACGTTTGGTTACGGTTTGGTGTGTGTGTGTGTGTGTTTTTTTTTGCATTCGCAATTCATTTTGTTTCCTTTGTCGTTTGCGCAGATTTCTGGTGCTTCTAGATTCCCTTACTTGCTCTATGTGTTGACTGTCTCTGGCGTCGGGTACCTCTTGAGAATTCGAAATATTTCTGCATATGCGTCCATTTCCATTGTCCCTGTGGACGAGCTTCTGGAGGTTAATGTGCGTGGTTATATTGCCAATCAAGCGGCAGCGATAGCTGCTGTGACAGCCACTGCCGGGGGTCTTGTTGTTGGCACGAGTGATGGTTCTGTTTTCTGTTTCCAACTCGGTGTACTAGAACCCAGTGCTCCTGGTATGAACTTGCTATTTTCTCTATGGGCATGCGTTTTTCTCTTGCCTCTGTTTGTTTTCATAGTAAATTGTAGCTGTATTATTTGTATGTCCTATTGGAACTTAAGATTGCACTGAAACTTCACCCCTAGTCTGGTTTAGGTTGGTGTTGTGGGATGTTTTAATGGCGAATTAGAAAATAGGATTGAGGTTCAATTGCATAGCAACATAAGTTCATCTTTTGACTGTCGTTAATTTCTTCTCTTGTTTTGAAATTTCGGTTATGTCTATTTTATCACTTTTCAATGGTTTGTTTTGAATTTGTTTTTGTCAAAAAGGTTTTGTCCATGAGCTGAGAGACGAAGCTGGAATCACTCGCTTGTGGGGTTTATTACCACGGTATTTTCTTTTTAAATTCTAATACTTGTTAAGCATGTTTAGTATCTTCTCCAATGTTCTAATATATTGTGTCTTTCTTCAATTGAACCTGTCTCTATGATGTGAGTTATAAGACATTTAATTGAAATGTGTATTTAGGGGGAAAATGGTAGGTACTGTACAGGAGTTGGTAATTTTGGAGTTGCACGAGAAAAAGTTTGTATTTGTTCTTCATTTGGATGGGACTCTACGTATTTGGGATCTTGCATCTCACAGCAGGGTCTTTAGTCATAACATGGGGACTATGACAATGGCAGGTATTGTCTTCCTCTTGGATTTAATTCAATCCTACATTATTTTTTATTTGTCCATTGCAATGCAGGTCTATATAAACATTGACAAGGACGGTTAGTTTTGGTTTTGCAACGTTCATGTTTATATGAATGGGACGAATTAAGAAATCTGCTGGTGGATACTATATTCTTTTATTTATGTGTTATGCTTGTTCCATTACTACCAGCCTCCATAAATGTTGAAGTGAACTGTTAATTTTGATTTTTGCAGTGCTTATGTTTATTTTAATGGGATAAACTAAGGAGGTTTCAGGACTCAATGATGATTTAACTAGTAGGAATATGAAAATTGGTAATTAGTATGCACCTCATGGGAGTAGGTTATTAGCATATAATTTGGGATGTTTAGGGCCAAGCACTGGCTGTCTTTGATATTATTCCAGATTCTGGGAGACCTTTTAATATCTAGCATCGAACAGCTTTTTGGTAGCGAATTAGGATTATGATTATTGTGAAAACGGTCTTTTTGGATTCTATGGTTTTATAAGTGATAGGAAAAAAATTATAGTTTTGCGGCCTCTTTAATATTGTGTATGGGACAACAAACTTCCATGAAAGGTAAGTGCTAGATGCAACTTTGTAATTTCCTTTAGGAACTCTAAGCTTCTGTTTGCCTGTGCCAATGGACTGTTGCAAATGTGAAAAATCAGAGAATTAGAGAGTATGGCAGTAGTTTGCTTGAGCTGATTTTGAGGGATTGGTGAGGAAAGTTGTGGGTCCCATTGCCTGTTGATTCTGCGCAGAGGTGGTGAGAAAGGGGGTTAAGTCACGTTGAGGATAGATAAAGAAGAGAGAATTGTGCAGGTGGGCAAAGATGTAACCTCATTGATTATTTTGGACATAATTTATTATGTTGCTAAAATAAAAGGCGTTTATGGCCATAATTGAGTGTTTTGTTATTGTAATGATAAATAATTTATAAAATAATATGAAAATAAGAAATATAATTATTAATAATAAATAAAATCATCTTACTTTCCCCTCATTTCTTTCCAGTCAAACAATCTCTCTTTCCCCATATTTCTTACTTCTTTCTCTTCCTTTCCCTTCCTACCAAAGAGAGTAGTACAAAGCACAGTAATTAAGAAAATTTGAAAGGAAGGTCGCATTTTGCTAATGATGTTCTTCACTAATTCCATAATCTTTATATTTAGTGGAAAGGAAACAAATATGATATCTATTCCCATATCAGACAAATGTTTGTTGTTTCAAATCATACATCTTTTATTTCCAGTTAAACTACTTGTATTTCTCAGTTTGTTGGGTTCAATCTTTTTCTCTCATTTATTTCATTTTCTTCTCTTTCTATTTATTTATTCTTTTCCTTGTAATGTAAGTTGCTCAAACACATGAATCAAAATGTGTTTATGTATATATTTTTACATCTGCATTGTTATAAATGACAAGAAGCTGCCTTTTCATCTCTACTTGTACACTTTTTTGCTTATATCCAGTAGTTTTTTAACATAAAACATGCACTTGTACAAGCATAATTTGATTTTTGTTTGTGGCTATAGAAAACTACAAACATGAGTGAAGTTAGTTTCTGCTCCGGCTGTAGCAATTTTTTTTGTCACTTTGTCTATTAACTTTCATTCACACACATTCTAGGTCTATTCTTTATCCTTTTTCTTGCTATTCCCTATAGATCTTGCAAATATGTTGAATAAAAATCAAAATATTATACACATTAAAAATATCTATATGCATTTAAAAGTTTTGTATACTGTGTTTATATGCCTTTGTGTAGTATTATAGACGATGTATTATTTTTTATTTTTACTTTTCTTTTTAAATTTGTCAATTTAGAAAAATAAAGAAATAATTTTGCTTTCATTTTGAAAGTCATGGAAGAGTCCTTATGGGAGATTCTTTAGTATCTTTAGCAAATTGTGGTCAATATTTAGTCACATCTTCCATTTTATAAGTGTTGAAAGGATTAGTGACAAAACATGTTATGGTATTGCTCTGGTACCACGTTGAGAACAGAGAAACTGAGAAAGAATATAATAATTTCTGAGTGTTGTTTGCACACGAGTATTATTTATAATGAATAAGAGATACATTAAGGAACAAAATTCTTGGTAAGATATTTTCCTATCAAATCAAATCATATCTCTCATAATTGAATCATATCTCTGTCATAATCGAATCATATCTCACTTCAATCAAGTTATGTATCATTTTAGACAAACTTGTTACAAATGTCATCCAGAGGCTTAATAGGCTTAATGAACATGTCAACCAATTGGTTATTAGAGTTCATAAAGTAAATAAGGAAAAAGCTAGCAGATATTTCTCAAACATAATAATCTCTCAATCAAAGTAAATAATGACAAAGCTTGTAGATATTTCTCAAATATGACTTTCTCAAACAAGAGAATTCTTATTTATGATGAAGAAGAGATACAATATCAAGGAGCAAAATCAATATCTAATAGTGGGAAATATATGGTTAAATATTTTGTTATCACATCATGTCTCCCTATTTATTATAATCAAATCATATTTCTAACATTATCAAATCATATTTCTAACGTTATCAAATCATATCTCTAGCATAATTAATTTATATCTATAACAAACTAAAATATGAATAAGATAAATTTCTCCATGGACTCTTGATGTTACTTTACTGGAATTTGTAATATTTTTAATATTTGTAAACATAATTATTACATTAAACTATTGATAGAAAAATTCAAACTGTCTGATGTGTATAATTTATTTATTGAATGAGTTTGATAGTTTCTAATTATACTTAATAAATACTTACTATTTTTTAGAATTAAAAGGTATTATTATTCTTAGAATTTTGGGCTTTAGAGTTAACTTAAGTCCACAAAATTGACTTGAAAGGTTAAAATTACACAAACTTCACATGTTTCATTTGACTTGAAAGGTTAATATTGGACTAATCAACACCTTTGAGGCTGCAATTAAGACAACCTTTCAACATTTATATATCTGAGAAAGTGCACTTTAAGCTGAACATAACCTCCTAAAATTTATTTGTAAGGGAAGGCTTGCACTCATGTATATATATAATTTGACCATATCTCTAGTTGATGTGACGTCTCTAATATGCTCTCTCACATCAAGGATTGGACATCTAGAGCTTGGGAATATATATTAATGGGTAGTTTGATAGTGATCTAATGGACTTAACAAATCTTATTAGGATAAACTTAGATAGTTTCTTAGGAAGTGGATAACCTAACTCAATATCATAAAATCGACTTATAAGATAAGGATTATAGTTATTTATATACTATATAATTTGGCCACATTTTTAACCTATGTGGGATCTCTAGAACTGAACATAAAAATTTGTGAAGAGATTATGTATGTTTGTTTAACTAAGTTGGATGTATAACCAAAAGTTAACCACTAATTATTAGGGCTATTGGCATCCTTGCAATCCCCTGATGGATGGGTACTGGAGAAGCTTTTCCTTGTCATGATGTTTTTATCTACGATGAATGCTAAAGATTTTTGATTGTGCATATTTGAAAAAATGGAAGTAGTCACATGTAATGAATCAGGAAAGAGTTGAAGAAAGCAAAACCCACTTGTCTTGTTTATTTGTCCTTACTATGGGGATTCGAATCTACCACTGGGTTAGTCCAACAGAATGGGGCTGGGCTTGTGTGGGTGCAAAGCCTAATCCTTGCAATGTTTATATTGAAAGAAGAGATTCTTGGAGTTAGTTATGCATTTAGATAGGAGTTTAATGAGCAGGTTATATGTATGATTTGGTAGAAGTTTAGGGGATGGATGTGTTAAATAGATTGAATTACAGTCATTCGTGTGTATAAGGTACATAGTCATTTATCTTAAGATACAAATCAGTCAATAGCCAAAATGTATCAAATTGCAAATCGTAAGATTCCAGTGACTATGGTTGCCATAACTTGGTTTGGTCCTCGACATAATGGTAGGTTGAAACATGCTTTGCACAGTCTTTAGGTTGCCCCATCTAAAAACAAATATTACTATATTTATAGGGTCAAAACAAAAATCGGCATATTTCGACAAAAGCTCTGTAGGGACAAAACATGTTTTATGTAATGGCTATGATATCCAAATACTCTAAAAATACAAAAAAATTATTGGTGTTTGATACATTGATTATTTTGAAAAATTTCTTTTATAGTTGACAGCTAAGGTACTCTAAGATATAACTTGAGACCCAATTTAACACTTACTGTAGTTTTATATTTGTTATATTTACTGTTAAAATGTGTGCTTTGTGTGCTATTCTAACTTGGGCAGGGAAAATGTATATTTTTTGTTGGGTTTATAGTAGCAAAAATACATTCTAGTAAGTGGGGGAAAAGATACTTAGTATGCTTACTTGTAATGATTACGAGTATATTTTTATTTGTGACTATCTTTTATTGACTGTTGATATCTGATGAACAATTAGTAATGTGAATATCTCTTTATAGATGTGCACTTATTTTTTTTTACACACATTTCTTAAAGTATCTTGGTTGTGCTGTATCTTGATTTTTGAAAATTTTCCATATCACCATTTCCGCCTTATGAACTTTTATTATACTATATTTGGATTTTTAGCATTTTGGATCCAAAGTGACAATGAATATTGTGGAGATGATAACTCATTTTTTTTGCTGGGATTAGAGAGAAATCTCTGTATATGGAAGGACCTCAAACATATTTAAGCCCAAACAAAACTTCCTAGTTTAATTTAGTTTGTTTGTGTAATTTTCTAGAATCTATTAGAATGTTAAACATTATCTCTTTTGCTGGCATATCAAATACAATTTAAAGTGAATTACATTTGATCTCTGCTTTGCTTTGTTTATTGATATTTGTGTCCTTCCAATTCTTGTGTACTTATACTGATAGGTTCCTAAATTGGGAACCTAATCAAGAATGGTCTTCCTCACACAAGAACACAAGAAAGGACGAAAGAATATAGAATGATATTCACAAAA